TCATTTTAAAATTAAATCATTTGACTTTCTGAATATATTTGCTTAGATTTATTTATTTTCATTTAAATAATATCATAATTAATAATGTATGTTAAAAATTTACATTGCTGTGCCCTTACAGGGTACACGTTTAATACTTTAACAACTACTATAAGACCTAATGTAACAACATGTTTTGCAATAAGCGATATTATTAATATTATTAAGAGGGAGCAGAGGAAAAATTCCTAATCTTCGATTTGATTTTGGAGGGGTATATCCACTTTAAAGTTAAAAATAAAATATTGTATGAGTAACTACACGATATATTCAAGCATAGACACTAATCAGAAACATAAAACAATAAACTTTCCTCGATAGATAAAAATCACATAATGACCTCTAATTTTCACGTTTTTTCAATTCATCCTCGAAATGCTACAGGTTATTAGGACAAAAATTAGATAATTAATTATATTTATGCATGATCGAGACTGTCACTACGAATTTTTTTTTAATCCCTTTAGTTTTAGAGTTATTCCGCTAAAACGAGTTTGGTACTTTTAATGCGTAAAATTCGACATCTCCTTTCGCATGTCACGCGTACTTCAGGCATATATTTGTCTCACAAATGTGGGCGGAGCCAACGTCAAAACTTTTTTGGCATGCTCCCTCTTGATCCCACCGGGTCGACGGAAATTTTTCTGCGTGTTGAACACACAGATTCTTTGTATTCATAAACATTACAATACAAGTGGAGTTATATCACAAAAAAAATCGCCCGTAATAAACCTGCAATTTGTTATCAAGTGAAAATTTAATAGTTTTATCGGACCGCGGTGTTTGATAATGTTTTTGGTATCTTTACAGACCACATGCCTGCGGGCGAGATAGAACTGCTTAAAAGATATAGAAATAAATTATAATACATTGCGTATTAAGGACGGCAAATAACATATTACTAACGAGTTAAATATACTTACACTGCCATCGATTTACACCCTAGAAACTAGTATATTCTTAAGAAAATACAGACATCTTTTTGCAGACGAACAACAACCAACAAATCTACGACCTAGACAAAGAATGACAACAATATCAACTGGTGTTCCACTTTCAAAATTAAAAATGCATAGTTCTGGCCCCTATGCCATGTGCACATAATCTCAGTACAGAGTACTAAAAAAACCGACCTCAAAAGTAAGTGGAATTACGTCTATTTGCTAAGTTTTATTGAAATATCCCCTAGTTCGCCACTATACAGGACTTGAAACTGGAGATAATAAAAATCGGTTCTCACTACTCAAAGTATATCGAGAGAAAAACGCCTTGAATTAGAGAAATAGCAAAATCAACCATTAAAGTAATTGCTCCTAAATTAAAGTTAGGCGCTATTTATAAAAATGAATCTTCATCCGTGAACAGCCACCCTTCGAAGTGGATGCTTTTCTTCAAAATGAAATGGGACCACTATGGAAGTAGCCCATTTCCAAGAAAAAAAGAATCATGTAAATCGGTTCATAAATACCGGAGTTATCGCGTAACATACATACAAAAAAAATAACATACAGACGAATTGAGAACCTCCTCCTTTTTTTGAAGTCGGTCAAAAAGTACATAATAACGTTAGCCGGATCGAGGGAATTTTTCCTAATTGTTCGATCTTTGTATTAATAATTATAACAAACTAGTGGATTAATTTCACATAAAAAGAATTGAATATAAATTCAATAAAAGTTCAAATATAATGAATAGCGACATCTCTAGCCGGGGCTGGTAGCTGTAAAGGTATCTAACTGGGTGACGAAATATCATAGATTTCTCATAGATGGCGCTACGGCTAAAAAGTCGTTGAAAAACCAAATACAAAGATACGACGCAATTCTGAGGTCCGCTGGTTCGTTCCGTGGCTTAGTTGGTGTAGCGTCTGGCACTGTATGCTAGAAGACGTCGGTTCGAATCCAGCGAGATCGAAAGAGTTTTTCTGAGTGTTCGATCTTTGTATTGATAATTACGACAAACTAGTGACAAAATAGAATTCACGAACGTTTTTTTTTTTTAAATTAAATGGACATGCTCTTGACCACTACCTAGCTCTGGAGCAAAGATAGGATCTGCGATGGAACGAGCTCGCCCAGAAGATGCCTATTCAATCACACCTTAAAGATACTCGGGTTGTATGAATTCAGAAACACAGTCGCAAACAGGGAATTCCATTCCTGGGCTGTGTGCGTAATAAAACATGATGAAAAGCGCTTAGTACGCTTGAAGGGAATATCGACCAAGTAAGGGTGAAATCCCGCCGTACGTCTGGGTGTCCGATGGCAAAAGGGGGCGGGCGGGATGAGCTGATGAAGCAATGATGGACACACAAATATATTCTGTAAAAAACCGACTGACGGGCAACTTTGTGCCGGTGGGCTAAAGTATGAAGTTTAGATTCGAGCTTATTGTCACCAATAAGTCTCCTGGCTCTGCGCTCAATCCAATCAAAATCTCAAGTTAATACTTCGCTGAGCCACCCCACAGGTGACTGCAGCACTCCACGCTAGATCGGACTTGTGCTTTGTATCAAGTTAAGAGCTGTCCAGGCGTGAAATATCGCTTAACCTTATTAAGGATACCCAGTTTTTTGGCTGCAATTTGTGCCTTACATTCAATATTAGCGCCAAAGTTTAAGGATTGCGCTCAATGTCATGCCAAGGAGATCCAGATTGTCGGTAAAAGATACAGATATACCCTGAAAAGTGAGAGTCAGTTCAAATAGTACTGTGCCCTACGTAATGTACCTTGACATTTTGTTCCTTTTTTTTTTCGGGGGAAATCTTTGTACATACCGATGTGGGGACTCTCCCTCCATACTGGAGGGCCTACCCCACTAAAACCCCCCCGGGTTTACCTCCCGCCGGTTGAGTCGGCGTCGTGGGGTCGGTGCACATTCACCACGACGCCGCCGCCCGGCCGCCCTAGCTTGCGCCAGGGCTCCCGCGCCAACGGAGGGGAAGGTCAGTTGTCCTCCGACCCTGACGAGTGAGGCCGTGCAATGCAGGCTCCGGAGTCCCTGTCCAGAGCCCGCTGGCCTCACTAGGGGATCAGGCGAGCAGCGAACTGCCTTAGCCTTCTCCTCGTACGTCTGCGCCGAAGCGGGTGCGCGTCTGCCGCGTCCTCGCGCACCCGCTCCGCAGCCTCCATTTGCGACCTAACCTCTCCGCAAAAGGAGGTCACCGCCTCCCAGGACTCCTCGCTACCGAGCATGGCGGCAACCACGCTCGGCAGCGAGAGGTCCTGCCCTATTGTCCCCGGACATTTTGTTCCTGCTTCCAAAATTATATTAAATTTGATTACAAAAATTCTGTTCCGTTCGCAACATAGTGTAACTCCGTACCAAATAACAGCGTGGCTTGACGACCAGTGTCATCACGGAAGAAAAAAAAACAATGGCAGTCCCTTAAGCCTCGATTACTATCAAAACGCAAACAAATAACAAACACTATGAAATCTTGATAATGATTGGTCGTTGTTTCTAATTTAATAAGATGTAACAAATTTTAAAAACATTCAACTAATTCTGGACTGTTAATATAATTTGAATTATACCCAATCGATATATCGTTGAAAGTTCGATATCTTTATTGCAAGATTTGTGGCGTTTTGATTTTATATTGAAATTTTTCAAAGTGCCGCTATCTTGCGGCAAGTAGCTGGACTACGATGAACGATTAACATCGAATAGAAAATAGTATCTTCTCGACAACAGACGTCTTCTTTAATGCGCACTTGCGTAATGAACTTTATTTCTATCAATTAAGTTTAAAATTAACAAAACACTCATAAATAATTTTTTCGCTAAACTTATTTTCTCTACTTTTGTTCTCTACTACCGGGTACCTCCAACATATTACAACTGACAACTGTGTTTTATTTTTATGGATCAATAGTTATTTTTTTATTACCACAGATACAAAATACCAATTACAGTATACTGCTTGATATTTCACCAGACTAGCCGATAGGTGACATTGTAATTAATTAATAGGCAATATAGTTCTGCAATCATCCGCCAGGTGGTGCTGCTGTGACAATGATCCACAGAAATATATCTAAATAGACACCACAAATACCGCAAGTCGTATAAAAAACCCAGCGTGTAACGTTTTTTGTACTTCCGATGACGTCACAAGCACTATTTGGTGATGGGAAACCTTCTTCGGCACTAAAGTGATTCATCAAATCGAAGACGCGAGCGCAGCACATGATTTTTCAAGTATTTACTGATTATAAGAAGCCTATAGCAGAATAAAACCAGAATAAAATAATTATGTCCTTTAATGTGTACGTGTTCTGAATAAAATTACCTCCGGAACTCTAAAAATTTAAAACTACGCTCGAAGACTACGCTCGGTTTTGTTTCCCGATAGACATAGGTGGCGCCCTATTATTTTCCCGGGTTATTGCGTTTGCTTATCTATGGACAACTTTAGTAACGCGACATAGCACTTCAATCGTCGCTAATCGTTGCGTTTTGCTGAGTTTGTTGTATATGTGTTTTTACAGGTACATATATAACAAAGATTCAGAATTTTGGTTCGTGATTTTGTTGTAAACGATTGAAATATTATTTTTTCTCGCAATGGAAGTGAAAAGCAAAGTTTTCACCTCAACAATTAATGCCAATATAAACCCCCGGAGTAATAGACATCCGTGCTTTAAATAACGAGGCTAACCACCACGGGTATTGGCTTGTTTTAGTCTTATTGTCTTGACCAAAAAATATACTGAGTTCCTAGGTTTTCGCAATTGTATACACATAGGAAATGAAACTATTTTTCGCGTATATTTGTTTTTTCGCGTAAATTTCGGGCCCTTTACAGGTCAACCGTGATCTAAAGGACCCGAAACGTTGGTTTGTTTGATAAAACAAATATACGCGATTTAAATCCGGAAAAATAGTTTCAATTTCCTAAAAAATATATTATTCATGTTATGCTCAACTATGTCAAGGGCGACATGTCTTTCTCGATTTATAGTCTCAGGTTTTGTAGGTCAAGGAGGAGTTCCAACTCCTGCCGTTTCAAGACAATTTCGCGTTCCGTCGCCGTGGCTCCGGGACCAGCCAGCCAAGCCAGTAACGCCTGGCACTTATACTTGACGGGATTACTCCCGTCGCGCTGTCCGAGCTGGCAGAGGCTTTCTAGCTGCTCTGTCGCCTCGGCCACCTCTTCTCTCACGTCACCATCCCGCTTCATAATTTCAGCCTCATGCGTCAATCGCAAGATCTCTGCTTGCGACAACCGCCCCTTGTTACTAGTGATCGTTATCAGGTTTTTATTCTTTGTAATGGTTTGCTCCGCTGAAACATGAAGGATCCCATTGGCATCGATCGCAAATGTAACGTCCACCTTAGCCTGGGTTGCCGGCAATGGTGGAATTCCAGACATATTAAACTTCCCGAGTAGACAATTCTCACTTGTCTTCTGTCTTTCGCCTTCAAATACATTGATCGAGATACTAGTTTGATAGTCAGCGACAGTGTTATACCTTTTGGTCTTTTTAGTGGGAATGGAAGTGTTTCGTTCGATGATTACACTCATTAATCCTCCATCTACTTCTATGCCGAGGGAAAGAGGGGTCACGTCAACTAGGACCAGGTCAGAGATGGTCGCAGAAGAGTCACCTTCTAAGATAGCGGCTTCAATAGCCGCGCCGTGAGCGACGGCTTCATCGGGGTTTATGGTTTTACTTGGTTCTTTGCCGAAGAACGTCCGCACCATCTGCTGAATGTACGGTATTCGAGTCGACCCTCCGATTAATACCACTTCTGCTACATCGTCTTTAATTAACTTCGCATCGCGCAGCACTTGTTCCAGGATGTCATTGATCTTTGAGAACAGGTCCTGATTCAATTCCTCAAACTGCTTGCGAGTGACTACTACTTTTAAGTCCTGGCCCCTGTGCAGCGAGTCCAATACAACGCTGGTCTTTTCCGCTGATGAAAGCGTGCGTTTGGCGCGCTCACATGCCGTTCTCAGCCTCCTAAGGGCTTTGTTGTCTCCGTGCAGTTCCAATCCGTGATTCTTGGCAAATTCACTCGCACAGTAGTCCACCAGGCGCGTATCAAAGTCTTGACCGCCAAGGTGCGTGTGTCCTGCCGTGGCGCAAACTTCGATGATGCCCTCTTCGATTGTCAGTATGGAGACGTCGAAAGTTCCACCTCCCAAATCGAAAATTAACACAGTTCGCTCCTTATCTGACTTGTGAAGGCTGTATGCCAGGGCGCCGGCCGTCGGTTCGTTGAGGATACGCAGTACATTGAGGCCTGCGATGGTGCTGGCATCCTTGGTAGCCTGACGCTGGGAGTCGTTGAAGTACGCCGGCACGGTCACCACGACGTTACGAACTGGGTGGCCTAGGTACGCTTCCGCTGAACTCTTGAGTGTTGACAGTATCATGGCACTTATTTCTTCAGGAAAGAAGGTTTTGGTTTCTCCCTTGAACTGGACCTGGATTTTAGGCTTGCCGTCCTCATTGATGACTGTGAACGGCCACAGCTCCATGTCTGTCTGTGCCATGGGGTCGTTAAAGCGTCGCCCTATCAGTCGTTTCACATCTGTAATAACCGAACATATTGAATTAAGGACCATATATTGGGTAATGTTTTACGATAATATGTTTATTAGTCAATGGTAATTTAGTAACAGTAGAGCTTCTTGCGAAAGAGTCCGTCCAGGGACGTACTGCCACCTTACCTATTTCTGCCGACAAGCAGTAATGTCAGCACCACTTTGTTCCGGTTTTAAAGGGTAACGGTGCTGGTGAAATTACAGGCCCATGGGACTTGTCAACTTATGTCTCAGGGTGACGGGCGCCGTGGCAGAGCCCCTCAGATCTTTGCGATTTAAAGCTCTGGGTTTAAAGCTTACCATTAGGCGCACGACTTGTTCGTAACGTGACTTGATATTATAAAAACAATCTAGTATTAATAAAGAAGCGTTTATTTCCTCAAGACATCTACACTAGAGATTAAACGGATAGTGATTTGACCGGCTAACGGGTATCTGATATCCGGCGAGCTGCCGGATATCTGAACTATTATCGTAAAAATGTCACTTATTTACAGCGTGTAACGCCGTGAATGATTAATGAGTGAATGATTGCACTTTCACATTTAATTGAAAAATTGACTCAATTAATAATAATAGCAATAAATAAAATATTTATTTGGCATCCAAGGCCCACTTCTTAGTAATATCGACAGTTTTAACTTTTGACCATTATTAGTAAATACAGAGACAAAACCTCACCAGAACCTCGATGAAAAGACGAAGCATTGGCGCATCATTTTATTACATTTAATTACATATTTATTCATTGTTTAACATCAACAACAACAACAACATGTTCAACTTAACTAGTTGTCAGTTGTACGTTGAACTATTATTTAAATAATTGTAAAACTGAACCAACGGGATGAATTTCGTCCAAAAAGTTCAACTTTTTGAAAAGTTGTACCTAGTTGAACTAATAATGAAAATACCTAGGACATAACTTGACGGAGGATCATAGAGACCATACTGATATTGATCGGGAACGTAGGGCGTTAGCTGTCAGATGTAATATGTTGGCCATTGACTTACAATTATATGGACGTCGGGTCCGCGCTAAAAAGTGTCCGAACTTATAGGGCGTTAAAATTGTATACAGAGCGTCATTCACGCTTTAGTCTTCGTTTGTTCGACTGACAGCGAAGCAAGCAAAATTAGACAGTACTGCGATGACATTACAATTTAAATTCAACGTTTTAGCTTTTTCATATTCCTTTACATGTCACTACGTTTAAATAGGTTGACTTGGGACATTTTTTTTGTGGTTTTTGTATTAGACCCGTCGTCCATTTATTTGTAAGTCAATGCTCAAACACATAACTTTATTCAATATAGGTTGTATATAAGCCATCACTCTATCGGAGGTCCCAATTATGATTATTGTTTGAAGACAATTCACATCGATACTTCCAGTTAGTGGTCTGGGAATAACAATTAACACCAAAATTTAACAACGTTTGCAAGAGTTTATAGTGAAAACCTGTCCTCTGAAGCTTCTCGTTCATGAAAATACCCGGAACCGAATTTCATTACTTAATGCAGAAAAACATAAAAGTTCATAATTCTGAAAGGGTTGTAACCTTATCTAGCCGTGACCAGGTTCACGGCAATGAAACGGGATACTTCCGGTCCACAAAATTTATTAATTTATTAAAATTAAAGTAAAGTTAAAAGAAAGGGATGTAACCATAAAAAGGTAATGTTAAAAACCAGGTACAATATTAAGGCACTTACCCCTCAATGGGCCGAGTAACTGAATTACAGTTACGTAATCATAGGTACATGAAGCCTGTAGACTATTATAGACAATTACACATGATTTAACATATTTAATAACGATTATAAACGTAGTAAAGAACTAAATTAGCGATTATTCGCGATGGAATTTGAAACAGCTCCGACTGTTGTGGCGGTCGAGCTGGGAGTGACCGTAGTACGAAAACAATAATGAGAAAGTGAAAGAAGATGGAACAATTCAAATTAAAAATTTAAATACAAGTAAAAGAAAAAAATATAGGATACAAGCGGAGAGAGGCGATATAAATAGTGAGATGATAGTGTAAGGAGGTCAAACCGTCACAGTTCTATCAGAAAAACATACCTAATAGTTGATTATCACTAATATAAGGTTTCTTACCACGGTATGACTTCTTTTTATTTTCCCGATATTTCGGAACGGTTGCACGCTCCGTGGTCACGGATTGACTCTAAAAGAGACTCAACGTCATAACTAACAATTCTCATTCTCGTTAACGGTGGTACTGTTTAGGATCTCAATGAAATGCCTGGAGTCCTTCACAAAGTACGAGACACATATTTTGCCAATTCAAACGTGGGTGAGTCTATCTGACTCACTATTGGTCGTAATGGTACGTTAGTTTTGTGGATCTTTGGCAAACCATAAAGCCTCGGCGGTTGGACGATACGTGGACGTAATAGTTGTTTTTCAATATCAACTGGGAAAATAAAAAAAAGTCATACCGTGGTAAGAAACCTGATATTAGTGATAATCATTTAGTGAATAACCACGAAAGTCTTAAAATCTATATCTAATAGTTGCTACTTTCTTGTCTTTCATCAATACATCAATTTATTTGGCGTACTGATTGTGAATTTTTTTCGGTTTTAAACATCCGATATCCGGACGGATATTGCTCTACTATCCGATATCCGGCTGGGTAGAAAAATTACAGTGTTTTAGTTTGGCACGGTAGAGATCTTCGAGGATCACGGCCCGGATAGCTCTGTTTTAAAGGCGTTCCGACTGCGCTAATGCAACGAACTAATATTAATTGCTATTTCGGTAACTACTCTAGCAAACCATAACGTTTTTAATGCCTGGGTCTGTCATTAAAAAATATAAACAACTTCAAAAATACGTCACGGCAATCGTGTGTGTTATTGTTTGGGCTGGTGATTTCGGTGTTTTTTGATTGAAAACATACCGTAAGTACCGTTTTTTTAAGTTTACCCTGAATATAAATGTTTATAAACTATACTTTAAGGAGTAATTTCATGGTAAACGTTAGAACCACTCAAACGGAATATTATCATATTTATCCAAGTACAGCAAAAATTTCATTAGTGCTTTTTAAGTGCAGGATTGGCGGTGTATTACTGCATTTTACTTGAGATGTTTTTGTTGGTAGTACGGAGGGTATTTATTTAGCAATGCAGAATAATAATTTTTATTTGTAAAAACTTGTATTTAAATTGAATCCTTTTCTATTTTGCGAAACCAAATAGCCGCCATTTTGCGGTAGGAGGTGCGCTTCGCGTGAGCGGATAAGTTGACAAGTCCCATGTGCCTGTAATTTCACCAGCACCCTTACCCTTCAAAATAGAAATACAGTAATTTAATTTAACTGCCTCCGTGGCCGCACGGTTACCATGCCGGACTTTCACGCAGAGGTCCCAGGTTTGATTCCCGGGCCGGGAGAAATATTTGTATGGCCGACATTTATTCCTCTCGTGAGTTTGGGTGTAATTTGTGGTTGTCTATGTGTGTGTCCATGGCACCCGCGACACAGGGTTTCCCTAGTGCGGGGCTGTTGTTTTTTTTTGTGTGTTGATTGTGAGCGTTATTATTATTATAGTAATGCTGACATTACTGCTTGGTACAGTACTTCCCTGGACGAATACTTTCGCAAGGAGCTCTATTGCTACTTGTGTTGTTGTCATCGAGTTAAAACCAGAAATAAAGACGAAATAACGAAATTTGTTTGAAAACTGTTCTGCCATATCATTAGGAGAGTACAATATAACAATGGTTTTCGTATGTTGTTGAGGCTGCCGCGGTTCTGCAGCGCGTCAGACATGTTTGCACAGGCTCGCACTGATGACTTTTATGCCATTATGCGCAAAAAGTCGGCCTCACTGCTCTGCAGACTGCGAGCCGGCTCCAACCCAATACTGAAAACCATTGCCAGGAGAATTGACTCTCCCTTTATGCGGCAACTTTTTTCGCCTCGTTTTTAATTGCATTCATGTTTTTATTTTTATTTTAATTTAATAAGGTTAAGATTTTAGTGCCTACTAACATAATTTTTAAGAATAAAATTGTTACTAACACATGTGGACTAAATAGTTGTCTGAAATAAATATAAAATTTTTATTAAAAAAAAAAAATTAGGGTGACAACTGCGCTCTGATTGCTCAGCCCGAATTCGAAACATTTCACCGGAGTCGTCAATCGTTTTAATTCAAATCAACCAGTTTAACTTTACATAGCTTTGTTATGATGAATTACCGATGAAATGTGATTCCGTTTGTTTTGTAATTAGATGTTTTGCTGTTTTTCCCAAACCACCAAATGGAACAGCCCCCCCCATTGTTAGAGATATTATCTTTATTACAATAAATACAGAATATTTTTGGAATACACGGAAACTTACACACTGGTCAGTTATTGGCGCTGTACTATTTCAGCTTTCTAATTTGTGATTTCAGTGAAAATGAGAGTAGATATTTAATAGTGATTTGCCAAGGATGAATGGCCCCTATTTCGTCTCTATTTCACGATAAATCTGTGTGCAGCACTGCAACGCGAAAGTTAATTCAATTAACATACCAAAAATAGTATTTTC